CTGTTACTCACAGTGACTGTTCTGGAGGTGCTGCTGGGCTGGACCAGAGCGTCCGACAACAGCAGAGACGAGTTGGACTTGTATCTGTGGAGAACATGGAGAGAACCAAGGATGAGAGACTGAGAAATATAAGACTGCTGCACAAAGGAAATAGTAAGGTTGAGAAAGCAAGGACAAGGAGGTAAAGGAGAAAAGAAAGAGAAAGAATTGTTAGACCAAACATGTTAAAAAGTGAAGACAGGGAGGAAGAATTCAAAAAGTGGTGATGAAAAAGAAAGATTGCAATAATTCAAATTCAAAAAGGCAGGATTGTGATGCAGCAGGAGAGACATACCTGTCCAGGATTTGTGTAAGGTGCCAGTGCAAATGCACCAGGACCAGTTTTGCTACCGCTGGTACAACCTGAGAGAGAAAGAGACAAACAGAGATCGCTGAAATGCTGCTTCCCTGACACCTGAGTGACTTGGCTGTTGAAAGTCAGCTAATCAGTAAAGACACACAGTTCCCATATCCAAGACTTGCCTATTTTCACTTTAATACAATAAGCAGACTTTTTTTCCTTTAGCAGAAAAAAAATGCTTTGTGATTGTAACACTGCTGTAAACATTATAAAAATAAAGAGAGTCAGGAGTCAATGAATCAAAGTCATAAACACATTGTTCTATAATTGTTTTGCATTCTATAAACACAAAACACAGCTGCTCCTCTGGGAACAGAGTACTGTAGTTGCTGTGCAGCTCTTATGTGCATAAGGACTAATTATACAAGTGTGGAGTAAGGTGTTTACTGCAGAACAGCATGTAGACTCAGCAGAGTAACCCTGAACCAATAGAGGGGCAAAAAGCCTGTTCCCAAACTAGACATTCTACACAATCTTTGGACGCACAAAGATACCGATAAAACTAATGATGAATCTGCGCTATTCATTTCGCCCCATGACAGCGTGGCGATGAGCCATCAAGCACAAGCATTCTGACCATGAAGAAGCTCAATTAAATTGCAGAATCACACAAGCTCACCTTCAGTGCAGCAGCCACAGTGTTCACCTCCTCTAACAGCACCCTCTGACTCTCCTTGTAGGTCAGACAGGTGAACAGGTACTCCTCGGGGTCAAAGGAGTCAGCGCCCTGCTGCTCCACATCGTTGGACACGCCGATATAGTAGTCCTCAATGTCGGCCTGATCATCATCGTCTCCTCCATCGTCATCATCATCATCATCTCCCTCGTCTTCAAAGTTCTCCCCAAAGTCTTCCTCATTGCTGTCCGACGCCTGGCTGTTCATGTCCACAGACATCCAATCGATTGGATCAGCCACCCGGACAGGTAGACAGCTCGCCTACCTGTCGGTGGTTCGAGTGGCTTAAATTACTTGTTTAAAGCTCCACTTCGGTTCTTCTCCTTGCTGCTTGCCTCACTGTTTAGAGACACACTACCTTCCCGTCTGCCCGAGGCGCGTAGAGAGTGCGCTCAGCAGCAACGGAAGAAGCAGAAGCAGTCGCACTCCCCGTCACTCATTTGGAAAGCTGGCTACAAAGCGATCTGAGGAGGAACAAAAGATTGAAAAGTAATGAGAAATAAGTGAAGTACAAACAGAAGTTGAGAAAGGTACGGTGTAATTGAGGAAACAGTGGAGGTATAAAGAGAAAAATATAATTAGTGGTCAAAGTTGTTGATAGTTCACTCATTAATCTTTACTGAAAGGTAGTTTAGTAGCTTGTGATTTATAATATTAATTTGTACATATGGATGAAAACGCTAGTTTACTGACCAAAGAACAGAGACTCAAAGAACAGAAGCAGGCTATCAAGTGTTCATGTTGGACTTATTTCTCCCTTTCAACACGGCCAGTCACTAAGCCTGGAGTGTTTCTAATTTTACACAAACAATATATTTATTCTAGTGAACACAACTTTGCCAGTGGTGCTCAGAAACCACCTGCCACTGTGAAGAGTGACGGCATCTGTTTTTGTTTTGTCCCTTTCAGGGGGGGGGGGGGGGGGGGGGGGGGACACACACATAAACAACAAATTCCCTTGTGAATTTGCAAAATCATATATGTATAGATGACTCAAATTGGACACTTTGAAATATAATTTGTTTGTATATAAAATATTCTGCTTCTGGGATACACACACTACCAGCCAGTTGTTGCTAAACGTTTGGCTGTGCTTGCTTAATCTGTGTCTACTTTGCAGTTGACCTTTTAGTACAGATTATGTCATATCAGAATCAGCTTTATTTGCCAAGCTTGTGTGGAAATACAAGGAATTTGATTATGCTTAAGTTGCTCTCGGTTTACTAATACAGTTCCAAAACAATGTACAGTAAGAATACAGATTACAATGAATTAGCTTCAAGATTTTGTTTATTTAGACCGTGCCTCTGTTCATTTAGGCTAGAAGATGAGACAGACATTATCTCAAAGACATGAGCTGGTACTGGACTCGGTCCAAGGTCTCCAGCCTGTACAGCCAATCCGATCTCAGCTACACATACCCGACTCACCAATGAATTGCTGCTCTTCTAAGCAATAGACAATGGGATTTATTACTCACTTCCAAACATTTACATTTTTCCCCGAGTGCATCTCTTACTGTGGTCTTATTATTCTTAACCAGGCCTGCCTCTGTCCTTCTACACTTTAGAACCGCTAAACACATGTGCAACCCAAGGCATGGGTTAATGCTTTTAAACAAGCCTTGTTTAAAAGCATTAACCCATGCCTTGGGTTGGCAATAATGAATTGCTGGATTGATAGACATTTTGGTAAATTGTAGAAAAACACATCTTTACATTTCTCAAATCCAAAATGTCATCATTTAGGGGATCCTTTTCCCCTTAAATGACTTCCAAAATATTTTAGTATGCAAGTTGAACATGACCAAAACACTGAACATCCTCTTTGTACCTGGACATGGGATTTTACATGCTTGAAGCAAATATATGATATTGCCTGCTTTTATCCTTGTATTACCCAGCCCAGTGACAGGGAATAATATTCCTCTGAATGCAAGACTACATTGTGAAAAGTAAATTCCCTAGGCTCGCAAATCGTATTTCCTTGTCCGATTGGGGTTTCCCTTACGCACAGATTTACAACTCGGCTATTGTTTTTGTTTGAATGTGGATGGGTAGCTTCTCTATTCTCCTTGCCAACACTTGCCTTCGCACCATGTGTCACGAGCTAAAGAAGCCCAATACCGTTGAACGGGAACAATACTCCGAATATGATTCAAACTTTGCACTACATAGGCTATTATTCCGATATGCAATTTGTATGCACTAAATGTATAAAGAGACACCGGGTCAATGCCGTTTGCTGATATAGGCGATAATATGTGACGTCGCAAATATCCACCTGGCTAAAAAAAACAAGCCGGGAGAGCCTGCTAGGCGGCCCGGTCCCGTAGCTCGCCGGGCGAGAGACGGGTGTTCGCATTCTGCCCGGTCGGGGCTAAAAATAGGCACCAACTGGGTGACACACATCTCGCTAGGCTAATGTATCACAGCGACTCAGCACAGGTTTTGATAACAAGTCTTGGGGGATGGGAAGTGAGCGGTGCGAGCAGCGATAACGCAACATTAACAATAGACATTTGTTTTTTTGTTTGACCAGGGCATTTCGGTGGTGTGCCTTCATTGCAGATATTAAAACCTGACACTGAAATCCTCAAACAGGATGGCCAATTGACCGTTAGCCGGGTTAGCTTCCTGGCTAGCGTGCTTCAGTTTATTCAGCAGCGACGTGACGGCATGCCAAACCCACGAGTTTGACGAGCTAAATTGTTGTGTACTTTCAGAGCAGACCAGGGAAAAACTTTCTAGGGAAAAAAGTTCGTTTTGTTCTTTAATTTATAACATAATAGCTATCCCGGTTAGCTACCCCTTTATCTCCCGCTGTTCCGTCGCCGCCTCTCGCCCACTCTAGACCGGGGATTTAGATGTAAACAAGGCCCTCTGGAGCTCCGTACTAAACACACACATTTATAAAAGTGCTGCAAACATTTTTATTTGGTTTAAGACGGCAATGTTTACCTCCAGGAGAAGCGTCGGCTCTGCTCGCAATGACAACCAGGACTGGTTATTGTGTGGGGAAATCCACTGTGCGATTTACACTCCGACTGCTGGGCTGGTAACCGGAAGACCACAGAGATACTTATGTATGACGTCACTTCCCCTCCTATAGCAGATTAATGCACTTGTGCTGCTCATTAATACTTTAGCTGCACTACAGGAATGGACCAACATTTGATAACTCTTTGCTAAAACATATATCCATATAATACACGAATTTAATTAAATATACATTTAACAGCCAGGAATTATCTTATGTTAGGATTATAAAATGTTTGTAATACATGTATGTCCTTTTCCCCAGTGTACTGTAAGTGTATACCCACCTACACAATACAATACAAGCAATGCAGTATTAGGAATCAGCATTAGGTATGTTTGAAATCTCTCCTCCAATGTCAATTCCCCATGCTACACACATCTTATCATCTTTCATCATTGTGTGACCGTTGCAAAAAAGAGTTACATTTAACTTCATGAAATGACACATGTGATCCCCTTGTATTCTGTCTTTGTAGTATTTTAAGATCTATATGTGTATGGTATATATAACATGCAGCTAAATCACTCAATCATCAAATTTAGACATTAAAATACCAGCAGCTGTCCTTAGACTTAAACAAATAACTAGACTTAAAAAAAATGACGCAAACACAGATTGATTTCGTTTTTGTTGCTTTTGCTTTTTACTGGTGATTTTAACATTTCTTAGAAAAATTACAAAAAACGTTTTACTATTTATATACAGCCATCATCTGCTGAGGACAAAATGGTATAAAGGAAGAAAGTGTGAAAGAGATGACTAAGAGGCTGATTCAGGATACAACAGAAACACAGAATCTCTGAGGATGTAGCAGCCAAACAAGACAAGAGAGAAAAAGAGGAAGTACAGAAAGCTTGGTGAGAAATCAAGACAGACAGTGTGTGAGCTAAGAAATAATTTAACAACTTCTTAACTGCGGTTTTTACAATGTTCATGGATACATCTCAAGATAAATGTTACTTGGTTCATGTGTGTACAGAAGCAATGCAACCAAAACATGGCTGTTCATGCAACTGATGATACCAAATTGTAAATGTACAACAATGGTACAAGTTTCTGTTTTCATTGTATCAGCTTATTCACAGTCCAGTGAGCAATGAAACGGTGTAAGGTAGCTGAGGCACCAGATGCTGAATGGAAATGTTTATTCACCTGTAGGGATTGTAGTGTTGTTTTTAGATGCGGTTTTGTGTTAACTTGCAACACAAGCAATCAATTCTATTCGGCATATATTGTATAATGCGCTAAACTGAGGAGAAAAACAGTGCCTACCAGGTTCAACAGCAGCATTGTACTGATCGAGTTTTGGAAAACACCCATTTCATTCTCACAAGAGTGCTGTGAGTATCACGTTGTAAGGACAATTCCCTGTTCCCACATTCATGTTGAGTGAGTGTTTTCCAATGCAACCTCAGAGCACCTTTCTGCACAGAGAACACGTGTCAACTTGTTGGATTTTATATTCACCTTGCCTGTTACCCCCCTGGGAACTTGGCATGGACAGTATGTATACTAAGCTCTCGTATAAAAATCTAAAATACAGTACATGAGTTCAACTGGAAGTATGCACATTGATGGTAAACACAGAATGGGGATTAATGACCGCATTATCATCGATGGAAGAACATCTACCAGAGTAAACCCTACAAGCAGCCTTTCCTGAGAGAAATGTAATCGAACTTGATTTACTAAACTCAAGTGTAGTTTTTTTTTTACCTCCGACATCACACTTTTTCAAATGGGAACATGTGTTTCTCTTGTCCTTTCTTTTCTCGTTTTGTCTTCGCTGTCCTCTTCAGTCCGCTGATGCTCCCCCCGTCCTCCTCAGCCAGTTTGTTCTGAGGCCAGGACATGGCCAGAGTCTCAGATGCCGTCTTATCTGAAGGACTTCCCCCCTCATCCCCCTCCTCATCTGAAGAAAGCCCGGCGGCCTCCTCCCCTTGAAGAAGACCTTGGTTTAACTTTCCGTAGCGCTGTTTGAGTTTTTCTCTGATCTGGAGCCCCTTCAACAGCAGAGTCCAGTTGGAGATCACCCTCTTTTCTTTTTTCTGGAAACAGTAAGAGGAAAACAGTGACGGGGTGTTTTGGTGCTGAACAGGTTTTAAATAACAGATGGCAAAACCATCATAACTGCGTGAACAAAGAAAGTAATTAACCTGTACTCATCAGTCACACTCACCTCTTTCTCCTTCTGTTTCTGAATCTCCTGTTCCTCCGCCCAGGCTGCTCTGAGAATCTCCTCAAGCTCCTCACACACAATGTACCCATCAGTGCTGAAACACACAAACATACATAATACAGATCTTCATTCACCTTACATTTATCCTGTTTTCTTAAAAACCTTATATATGTCCTTTCATTTTTCTTCTTAAGCATGTAACACAAATTAGAGCAAATCAATCAATAAATCTGATATAGCAGTTTTTACAATAAGTGTATTAAAATAAACAAATGTCATAACACCTTGCTCATTAGGTTACACTTAGCAACTGGTGAAAGCTAAGGCTGTAAAAGGTCATGGAACACGCTTCAAACATTTTGTGTGCCCAGTGCTATGTGAACTACTTGAAGTAATACTCATTTTGTGTCAAATTGTGAATGTTGAATAACTTATTTTACTATATTGAAATAAAAAATAATAATAGAGATAATGATCTAGATTCCAGGAAGTAAAAAATCTGTTTTTTCACAAGATAAAAAGGTTAAAATCACAAACGATGAAAACAGTTAGAATCGATGCAGTGGAGTTGTTAAACCCTGAGACTGAGAATGGAATAAAAACCCTGATATACTCCTGAACTGATCACACCCCCTACTGTCTTGTGTTTTAAGAGGTTCCTCAGTGTTGTCTTACACAGCGTGTGAGTATCCTCCATGAAAATCGAAGCCCGTGACGGCGGGGGCGGCGTCCATTTCCAGCTTCCTCGCCACGCGGTTCAGGTTGGGCAGCCTGAGGTGAACACAGCCCACCGGCAACATACAGGGCTTAAACAGGTAGACGTTACCGTACTCGTTGCGGGGAACCTGAAGGCAACAGACAATATGTAAACAATAGTGCACTCATTTGAAATATCTTCCGAAATGACTGATTGTCTTTTTAATGCATGGTCCATTTTATCTGCTGTATATAAATATTTGCTGTTAGAGTAAAAACATTTCTTTACAGTTATCATCCCGGTCCATAAAGGCATTTACCTTCCCATCCACAGCTAAAGGCGGCTGGTATTCTTCAGTCTGCCATTCTCCAAACACAGCCAAGTCCTTCTCCTCTGTCTGCCCGGACGCCATCCTGGCTTTACGGGAACGATTAGAGAAGCCTTTCACCATCTGGAGCAAAGTGAGACGGGTTATACACACTGCCTCTTTATGTACTCAGTTCAATCATCAAAACACAGCAGATGAGTTCCTATAAAGTGTACATGCACCATTGTGTCTAATAAATGCTTACTGGCTGTAATATTAAATTGCAGACTCACTCAGTTAAGGCTCTTGCTGCCAGCCATTTTGTCTCTTCCATCTTGATATTGATCAAATTAAGACCAATTTAATAGAATTATTGCTTCCAAGAGTATTCAATGGATTGGCAGCAAAACATAATTTTATCATTCAAAACTGTGATTGATAAGAACTTACTTTGTTGAATGCGTTTTGCATGGCTTTACACTCTTTGTTTTTTTATCTTAAAAGTCATTTCATTTCATTTCATTTCGAACAGATAAAAAAAACAAATAAAAAATAACATGTGAAAAACAGAATACCATATTGTTAAAATACAGTATTTATCAATGTCCGAAAGGGAGCAGGAGGAAGCAAATGCTTATTAATTCCCACCCCTTACTTACTGCTGATCAATGATTATCCTTTAAATCATTTCTGCAAGTTATTCCTACTTACATATTTACATGTATACATACATTTACATTCATTTTTCATCTTCAATCACCGTTCTTCAATTTCATAGTTTTCCAAAAAAGTGTTTCTGTACATCCTTTTAAACTGAATTATATGTGTGCTTTGTTTGAACTCCTGCTCCAAACCATTCCATAAAATCACCCCACAGATTGTTATGCTCATACTTCTCAGAGTTGTTCTGACCTTGAGTTGTTTCAAATGTAGATTTCCTCTCAAATGATACCCACCCTCTCTGTCTATGAACAATGTTTGTAATTTCCTAGGAAGTAGATTATGTATTGCTCTGTACATGATTTGTGCAGTTTTAAATGTAACCAGATCAGTAAACTTCAGTGTGTGTGACTTCAAGAATAATGAATTAGTGTGTTCAAGATATCCAACATTATTGATTATTCTTATAGCCCTTTTTTGTAATGTGCATAACGGCTGTAGGTTGGTTTTGTACGCGTTTCCCCAAATCTCCACACAGTAACTCAGATATGGCAATATGAGTGTATTATACAGAGTATATAATTGTAGTCCAGAAAGTGTCTTGCTTTCCCCAATATTGCGATAGTTTTAGCCAGTTTTGCTTTTACAAGATTGATATGAGGTTTCCAGCTGATTTTGTGCTCTCAAACCACACAGAGGAACTTATTTACATACTCTTTCTATATTTATGTTGTCTAGGATTAATTGCACCTGTGGATTTGTTTTATGTTTTCCAAATAGCATAATCTTTGTTTTTCTTATATTTAATGATAATTTGTTCTTACCAAACCAATGTTTTACTTTAATCATTTCTGCTGTTATCACTTCCATTAGCTCTTTCAAATTGTCCCCAGAACAAAACATATTAGTGTCATCTGCAAATAAAATAAATGTCAATATATTTGATACTCTGCAAATATCGTTGATGTATATGAGGAACAGCTTTGGACCCAACACAGACCCCTGAGGTACTCCACAAGTTATGTTCATGTATTCTGATTTATGTTCACATATTTCAACAAATTGTTGTCTGTTGCTTAAATAATCTCTCACCCAGTCTAATCCCACCCCTCTGATGCCATACCGTTCCAGTTTTGTCAGTAAAATGTTGTGATCTATGGTGTCAAATGCTTTTTGTTTTTTATTGTCCATGCAGTTTGCTATTTCCTCACTTAATTCCATTAGTGCCATATATGTTGATCTGTCTTTTCTGAATCCATATTGACTGTCGTCCAAAAGCTGATGTGTTTCCATGAAATTGTCAAGTCTTTTTGTAAAAACCTTACATTCAAGTTTGATATCCAGAGGCAATACCATTTTGATCCTGCTTTACAGTCAACTATCTCAAAATCAGTGTGCAACTATAGTCACTTGCAGGAAAACATGTATGTCTACTCTTGAAACTGAGTAATATAGTAAACTGTAAAGGAAAAGATTTACTCTTTGAAATGTGTTAATGCATCGTTTTGCTACAAACTACATGGGTAAGTGTATGTCATTTTCACAGCTCAAATCAACCAGACCTCATACTCTTTAGGGAATTTATGATTGGTCAATCTGTTTAAAATACATTTAGAGATTGTGCGAACATCAGTGGAGTGTGTGTTTACATTCAAATAACAACATTGTGAGTTTTCATTATGAAGTAAACTGTTGTTGAGGTTGTTCCTCTTATTTGGTAACATTAGTCACAGATCATGACGGCTGACAAGATTGAGCAAGAGGGGGATAGAGTTATGCAGAAACTGAAGGAAACAAAATGAAATAAGGGAAGTGATGAATGGGGGAGAAAACAAACAAGAAACAAACAGACGTGTGAAAAATATTCTCTCTCACTTTAAATGGCTCCTCTCCTAGTCTGACAGTCCGTGCTTCTTTTAGCCAAGTGTCCTTGGAGTGGAGGGAGTGCACACAATCCCTAAAGACAACACAATAATAAAGAAAAACATTAATTCTTCATTCTGAAATATTTATTTGAAGATGTATAATATATGTTTGCTGTATTTGTAATTAAGTACAAAAAGTAACAAACATGTATAGCAGATATAATTTGCAGATATGTAGGTCACTATTAACATGTGAAAGCCACAGCTTCATGCACATTACAGTTCAACTCATCAAACAGCTCCACCAGGTGGACACTGACGCACAGCCACAATTCATTCAGACTCAGGTTATGGTATGCGGTCATTCATCTGTTCTTCCAAAGCACCCGGTTTAAAAAAGGAGCGTCCTTCAGACTAAAACTGTTATCCAATAACAAGAAGGTCTAACGTCCCACTGACCAAAACTTCTGATGCATTCAGGTGCTTCTTAATAACTCCTGAAGTAAAATATTTGTACATTTATGACCAGGACTTGGTCATTTACAACAAAGTGTAATACCTGTGGGAAACTGGGACAACTTTAATTCTTACAGTGCTTTGATATTTTTTGTTCTTACGTAGACTAACCACTGACTAATGTCAACATACTGTATGTGCAAATATCTAGAAACGAAGAAAATGGCCTTAAAATGTCTGGATTAACGCCCAGTTAAACAAATGACTCGTATACATTTAATATGGGATCTGAGATCTGCAGAGTAACATCTTGTGTGTGTTTCACATTCAAACCAAATAAGGTGGCATTGCTTTGCAGACTGTTTCACTGACCTGGAGTAGACAGGCTCTCCCCTGCAGTATCCCAGGACAGCAGCTGTTGCAGGGTAGATGGCATCGTATTTCAGCAGGTGTCTCTTTAGGGCGTACAGCGGGTGGTTCTTATACTCCGCTATTGAGACTGGCAGAGGTTTGTTCATTAGCCTGCTCTGGAGCTGGGAGGGAAAAACAAAGTAAAGTGTTAGAAAATAAGATGGAGGATGAATGTGATTAAAACTATATCAACCAGATCACCAAAAACTCCTCTTTCCACCTCCAAAAACATTGCACGTCTTGCCCATCACTCAGAATCAGAATCAGCATCAGAAACAGGTTTATTACCAGGTAGGTTGACACGTACGAGGAATTTGACTTGATACATAAAAGTAAAACAAAAATTAAAAAAACTCAGATAGAGAACTATTATAAGAAAATATAATAACATTACAAAATGTAAAAAATATAAAAATATATAGTAATACAGCAGTATTTACATAGACATAGAATGGAATCAAATGGAATCAAATATGGAATAAAATTCGGCAGTAATATTAAAAAGAAAACAGAAACAGTGGGTTACGTATTGTAGCCCTAGTTATATAAGCACAGGTGGAGCCCTCTACTGGACTCTATGGGTACTGCCATTGACCTCACGATGCGAGCGTTCACCTACTGAGAAATCTATAAACGTAGCCGGCCCCCGGGGGCGGGCCTACCTGAGTGCGCGCGCAGGCCCACAGTATATAAGGCGGACTCGCCTCCCGCCCGTCATCCTACACCCTCTTCAGCGAGCAGCATAGGACAGACAGGGCCCCTAGTAGAGGGCTCCGCCTGTGCTTATATAACTAGGGTTACAATACGTAACCCACCGTTATATCTTACACAGGCTCCGCCCTCTACTGGACTCTATGGGTACAGTGGGTGGAGCCCTGATGGATACACGCCCTGTCGTCCAACAACCCATCACACTGCCCCTGACTGGCTTTTTTGGTTAACAGCCACTGCACCGCAAACCTCTCCTCCCTCGGTTGTGAACGTGGCGGAGCCGGGGCCGCAGTTTACTTGGCTGATAGAGCACACCGAGACATGCTTACCTCGCGAAGGGTGTGCATGGAGAAAATAGTGAGGAAGGCTCCCCCTGCCTGCCCCTCACCAGTCCTGTGTTGCCCCAGCAAGCACAGACGATGAGAAGGAGCCAGAGACATGTCCAAGAGATAAAACTTTATGAAGAGGCCTGGCGTGGACCAAGACGCCGCCGTGCATATGTCCTCCACACTCACGCCATTAAATAAGGCTGTTGACACAGCCATACCCCGTGTAGAGTGAGCACGGACCCCCGTGGGGAAGGCTCTCCCCGCATGACCGTAGGCATGTACAATGCACTCGCAGAGCCAGCCTGCCAGGCGTTTCTTGGACAGAGCTTTACCGGCCACACCCCCTCCGAAGCACACAAACAGCTGTTCAGTGCGCCTAATGGCAGCCGTGGGCTCCACATAACACGCTAGCGCACGCACCGGGCAGAGGAGGTGCAGTTTAGCCTCCCTGTCCCCAATATGGGGTGGAAGACTAAAGCCGCCCAGCTGTATAGCCCTTGACCTGAACGAACTCCTTAAGCTCTTGGGAGCAAAGGTCTGAGTGTCGCCCCGCTACGGTCACCCCGGATCCACAGACAACTCGGGTGTACCGACAGAGCGGTCAGTTCTCCGTGGATACGGGGGCCCCTAGGAGATCCTCGCGGTCCTTCCTGGACAGCGCGGTGAGTCCCAGCCACACGTGACGTGACGCCACCGTGGCCAGGGGCATGACATGATTGTTCATCTGACCAATGCAGCGGTCCGAATAATCACTCTCGTCCTGAGGCGGGGGGGCGGGGGCAACCTCCTGAGGGGAAATCAAGGAGACGCCCAACACACCAAGATTATTGGCCGCTGCTGCCATCTGCGTACCGATCCGGAATATTTTATCCAAATACTCCAGCATTTCCCGGGCACGAGGCAGCGGGGGCAGAGGCTTTTTCCCCTCCGCCCATCCAGCTGCTTGCGGAAGCAGATGGGCTGCCAGGCTCTCATCAAGGGGGGGCACGCCAGGACCTGCTGTGTCCGAGCGGCCCTGCACCCTCAGGATACCTGACATACCTGCCACTGGAGCCCTCGTCCTCAGTGGCTTCCGCCACGTCCCCTCCACACACTGCCAGATGTCTGGCAACGGGGGCGAAACGAAGGCCGGCTGCGCCGGAGAAGCCGGGCCGTAAAACCCCTGACGGAGGTGGCTGACCGGCGCCGGCGGTAGTGGCGGGGGGACCGGTAGCCCCACACGTCCCGCCGCGATGGCCATCACCGACGGGAAGTCCTGACGAGCGGACCTGTGCGGCGGCCCTTCCTGGACGCCGGAAGCCCCCGACATCGAGGAACCCTCGTCGTCTTCCCCCTCGCCGGGATGGCGAAAACAAATGGCACCTCCTCATCTGCCTCCTGTTCCCCCATCTCCACCACCTCGAGGTCCACGTGGTCCTCTTCTTCCTCTGGCGACACGTAGTAAGCGTGGAAATGCTACAGACGATGCCGGCGGCCAAGACGTGGCAGCATGCGGCAGGCGTTACACGAGGGAGACTGGGCCAGGCCGTCCGCGGCGTGTTCAGGCCCCAGGCACTCAAAACAGAGGCTGTGGGGATCGGCACCTGCAATCAGGCCGGTGCAAGAAGGACAGGGTCGGTGCTCTAGGATTGGTGAGTCCATTTGACTTCTTCTTCTTCTCTCTTCCGTTTACTGTTCAGTTGTTATCCAGCTCGCTGAAGAGAAAAGGATGACGGGCGGGAGTCGAGGCCGCCTTATATACTGTGGGCCTGTGCGCGCACTCAGGTAGGCCCGCCCCGAGGGTCGGCTACATTCATAGATTTCTCAGTAGGTGAACGCTTGCATAGTGAGGTCAAGGGCAGTACCCATAGAGTCCAGTAGAGGGCGGAGCCTGTGTGAGATATAACTCACTTTCTCTCCTGCTGAAACCCTGATCCAGAGTCGCCTACTCCCTCTAGAATTCTCCCAAACCACGACCACACCAATTACTGAAAATAAAATAATAGAACCTGGAATCTCACCTCCTTTTCTTCCTTTTTGTCCCTCTCATCTTCGGGTCCCAGGAAAGGCCCTAGTGTTTCGTCCCACCAATCTTCATCCACCCTCCTCTTCCTGGACGTCGTTAACCAGGTGGGGTCGTACTTCCTCCCCAGGTCCTTCACAAAGCCGTGCCCGTCCACCGCCACCACGTACGTCACCGGCGTTGTTGCGTTCTGTGAGCAGAGGTGAGGCAACCCGACACCCTGCTCCACGTGTACACAAACCCAGGAGGACGTTTTCTCCAGAAACACTTCCAACCACTCGTCCGCTCCAGGCCCTTTTGCCTTGTTCCCGCTTCTTTGCTTTTTCCTGATGCTTGTAATTCCTTCTTCTTTTTTGTCATCTACCTCTCGCTCATTTCCCTCCTCCTTTCCCCCCCCTTCGCTACTCCTTCTCTTTGGAGCTGCAGTGCTTTGGCTCTTGCCTTTCCCCTTTGTCCCCTTTTTGGATTTAGACCCTCCCTCTGACTCCTCACTGCCTTCCTCACTGGTCGCCTGAAACTCATCCTCATCACTGAGCCCACCCTCCTTTTTTTCCTCGTCGCTGTTACTTTCTTCCTTGTAGGTGACTTTTGAGGCGATGCTGCGGCGTTTTGAGTTCTTTGGCCTCTGCCCTCCTGATGTTATAGTCTTCTCATCTTCTTCCTTAATTGCTATAGTCTTTGCTTTCTTTCCTCCTCGGCCTCCCTTGATATTCCACCCTCCTGCAGGTCTCTTGGTGCCAGGAGAGACCTTTGACTCAGGAGAGGAGTTCTTGGATGTATCCTGGCTTGTGTCTCCCTTTCCTGGGGCCCCTGGAGATGTTGTAGCCCCTTTACCCTGTAGAAAAGACAGAGAGAGGTTTTGACTATGGAAATAAGCATTAAAGACCAAATACCAGCATATATTGTGTAATTATTCAATAGTCAACACCCAGAGGCAATACGATTTATACATGTAGAATAACAGAGAGGGTGGTTTTTTATGCAACACAGCAGTTGTGTTTTATCATGACTTTTAGTTATCGGCCATCCAACTGATTATTTTAAGCATGAAGGTAGAGGAATGGTCTTTACATAAAAAGTTATTGTGAGAGTGGGGCTGCAGTATTTACATCAGATTCCTCTAAAGGGCTAGAACAGTTATCTAAATAGTTACCACTGTGATAACCCATATTTAATTCCATCTTAACGTACAATATTTAATTGTACATTCTGTTCTTGTATATATCATATTCTATTTACGTGTATATAGACTTCTTGCACTATTTATTTTTGTATTTTATTATATATGTTGCATTGTTGGAGGAGCTCGGGTCATAAGATTTTCATTGCCATTTCTACACTGTAGCACATGACAATAAAACCTTTGAATCTTGAATCTTTGAAAAAACTGATTCACGTACCTTGGTTGATGGGGCTTTGAGAGGAATCGGCTGCAAAGAAATAACCAATCGGCAGAAGAGCTGCAGAGACCTCAGGACCAACAGGAACATCTGCAGCAAACACAAAGGAGCAGAATTATGTATCCACTTTATTTTAACTTCTTATGTTAACTCAAAGTCTGACAATTAATAGGATTATTCCTGTGCCAAAATACCAACATGAGTCATCTCCTGGTGGTCTCTGCCCGACAGGCTGGCCAGACGTCTCTCCAGCAGAGCCCGGGGGTCTGGACGCTCCTCACAGGAAAGACTGGGGTTGAGGGTGAATGTTGCTCTAAACCTGGGGAGGGGAGGAGAGGAGAGGAAGAGAAGGAAAATAGGAAATGCAATGAGTATCTTTTCCCCATAATGACCAAGTCGCTGCACATTATCCCGCTTATTACATGGCCATATACTAAACAAACTAACGACTCGACTCCCAATATTAATTGAAATGATTTTATTGACTTAAAAATGATCGTGTTTCTTCCGCTAAGAAAAAAAACCTCAGATCCACGGCGCACCAACAGCTGGAACTGCGACAAGAACAACTTTACGGCAGCACTGTCCAAGTCTGTTCACATTTTCTGATCCACTAACAAGTCCTTAAACACTGCCAGTTCCTGTTAGTGTTTACTTCCTGTCTGCCTTCTTCTGGTGATTTATCGGACGTCCAGCACTCCGTCTTTTATCTTTTTTTTCCTTTCTCTCCCTTGATAAAGTTACTTATTAGGTGACATTCTTACACATTCTAAGGTAAAAAAAAGCATCTTCAGGCATTACTATACGTTTTATAATTTACTCTGTCAAGCACACACCATTTGAGCAGTCCAGAGAGGTAGTTTTGGTCGATGCGTTCCTTGGCGACCATGCTGTAGTGTGTGGGCAGCAGCGACAGAGTGATGGCCAGCAGGTCGGGTTCACTGCACAGACTGCTGCGGAACATCCCCCCCGCTATCAGGCACATCAGGTGGACCTAATGGACCAATCAGAGGGTGGCAATGAGCAAACGCTAACTGTACTGACTTCAAATCAGGATTACGAGACAGGGATAAGAAGAATATGAGTTTTTACCTTGTGTGTATCTACCAGCACGTCCTTCTTGATTTTGTTCATCATCCGCCTCAGATACGTCTCAAACTCCGCCTGCCTCTTTTTCCTGGACAATGGGAAATCATGATTATTCTTAAAACAGATTGAATACTCTCCATTGTAGGACTTAGCCATTTTGAAAAAGAAATGTAATTGCCATTATCATGACTGATATTGAAATTGTGATGGGATTCACGATATTGGTGGGACATTCTCATTTGAACAGACAAACAACATGAAAGCAGACAGGGTCATCCTGGGCAAAACGAAATGCTTACTATGTTGTAGAAAATACTATACATAATATACATACATACAATACGTACTTGCACACACATCTATACAATCGTATACACATTTATCTCCTTAGATGCTCCAACAGTATGTGCATACGTGTATACAATATTAGGCATGTAGGGCTAACAAAGACAGGGTTACAGTACATAACATTTTCAGGGTCTTTGGGCCACTTTGTAGGGACATTCTCATTTCAATAACAAAATAGCATTAAAATGAAAAAGTGTGTGTTTTTTGTACTGTTTTTTAAGCATGGCGAGTAATTTATAAGCGCGACTTCTCTGTGGCACTACATTTCTATTTTCAGAATTGTATTTTGACATACGTTTTGCCTACATTTAATTTTAACAAATATTACGCCCTTGGTGATTGGATATTGAAATAGTCCATATTGCAATTTTGGCAAAATCCAGATAAGATGCAATGTGTTTGCAGGTTCAAAATAGTCAAATTCAGGACTTGAGATAAATACTAATACAATCAGTCCGCAGGACTTAAGGAGCACTTGAAAATGAATAACTGGACATAGAAAACTAATCCTTTTGAAACTAACACAGATAATCTTTAATACAACACAAATGTCCACTTACTTTTTCCTGACCTCTGAGGTCTCAATCTCAATCTCTATCTCAACCGGCTGAATGGGCAGGACGGGCTCCGACGGACCAGGTGGACCCAGTGGCCCGGAGAGCTCTGATCAACAAAGAAACAATTATTTTAACACTTCAGTTTTCCACTGTCCTGCCAGAATTCTTCTCACCTTTGTGGAGAATAAAAATGTATGCACTATTTTCTTATAATCTCTCACTTACCCTCCACTTCCTCCCAATCGTCCTCGTCTTCCTCACTGCCCTCCTCCTCTTCCTCTGTTTTCATGATTTTCATCGTAATGGCAGGCGCTGCTGAGGTCACCATGTTACAGTCATCTTCACTGTCAGTCTCCTCTTTCACCGGCGACTGGAAGTATTTGCTGGTTTTGACAGCAGTGGTTGTTTTAGACGTGTTGGAATTTTTTTTTTCTGCTCCTCGTTTTGTGGAGGAACGTGGTTTGGGTTGGACCTTCGTCTTGATCTCATCCTCTTCCTGTTTGATGCCATTACCTTAAAAACACACAGAAGTAGTTTTAAGATACAGTGATGGGGTTATGGTTAAGACTGAGAAGATTAAAGGTTTGGCTTCAACTCTTTCACTTCACAATCTTTCTTTCCTTAAAAAGCTGACATCTTTGTGAGTAATTATATTTGTGTGTTTTATATACTCTGCATTTTCTGAAGAACAGCAAAGCCTAAATGTGCATTTCAACTGTGACAAAAGCAGAGAGGCACATACAAAAATGATTGAATAAATAAGATAAACATAGAAATTAGAGAGGCCCACGGACATGGATTATGGACAAGATACAAAAATGTAACATGTAACAACTAAGAAAGACTCAGGGGGATATCAAAAGGAACATGTATGTATGCATATGTATGGTGCATCATGCATGCATACACACGTGCAAACTTAATACAAATGTTCCTCTGGTCTCACACAAACAATAACATGTTCCTTGTTTTGATAAAGTGGAGCACAGATGTGTATGTGGGCCAGCAGATCCACTCCAGCAGCCATGCATTTCACCCGCACGAGCACCTGCACTCAACCTGCTCAAAAAGTTATCTGGTGGCAACAACAGCCATATGTATGAATAAAATGTAAATACTGAAAAAGTGTTGTATGTTTTTAACCACTGAAGACCCCCTATATGATCAGTTTGACAGTTCGTAGATGAGAACCACATAATGTGGTAATAATAAAGTTATTACGTTCTCAAAAGATTCAGCATTATTCAATGGACAGAAAATGAGAAGCTAACCAAATTGATAAATGATTGTTAATTTAAGTGCTTTTTCTAGTCAAAATTTAGGAAAATGCTTTTATCAGCTTGTTAAAAATGCAGAGTTTCTGTTTTGGGTTTGAAATTAATAAATAAAAAGACATTTAGAACTTGGACTTGTATTGCCAATTATTATAGAAACATGTTCACGTGTTGTATTATGAATGATATAAGGTTATTAGTTCATTCAGTCATTGCCCTATCACTTGACATAGTATCACTCACAACAATTCCGCGCAGTGAGAATTCTAGTCTGCAATGACATCAGACATAATTAATAACATTTAAACCGTATAAAACAGGATGGATTTAGCAGAACACGTTTATTCTTCTGAATCAAAACTTTATGTCATTCAAGCTCAGGGTAACATAGACACACACCCCTCTACTGCCAGGACACGCCAACGGACTGCTTTATTTACAATCAGAGATCTCGTTAGCAGGATAAACGTTGTTTCCCATTCATTTTCTGATGCAAACTTCACACATCCTTAGCAGCACAAAGGCAGAATGTAAATGTATCTAAAGGGGGCTAAATGCATAAATCCTGACTTTTCATACCTGCATCTTTCTTCTTCCCTCTCGCTTTGGCTCCGCAGCCCTTCTTCAGAACCTGCTTCAGTTTCTTTGCACCGGCCTCTGTCTCTGCTGCACCCCCTCTCCGCTTTGCCATGCTGTCTTTTTAAGATAAAAAATACTTTATTTAATAGTATAAATGTATTATGGCAGAGACTAGACCGGCGGAAGTCCCTCAGCTTTCCACATGGTGTTGTATAAACCCAGGGAAACAGCAGTTATCCAACAATTCACTCGGCAGCTTTCATAACAACAAACAGCACTTGCAGGCAGGACTGACGTCACTTCCGCTCCTTCTTCTTCTTCTTCCCTAGTTTTTCTGGAGGTCTAAAACTGTCAACTGGAGACCAGCATGGCTTCTGCTTTATAACTACTGTATTTACAACAAGGCTAAGCAAGTACATTTCAAATGTGTACATAACCTGATAATTATGCAGTAGATATGTTTTAAGATTTTGATATTTCTTCTTTTTAACAATGTATTTCTTTCTTTAGTTAGCAAATTGCATAAAATTGTACTTTGAGAACCAGTAACAAAAAACACAGCAAACTATTTTTCAATCTGTTTCTTTCCCATAACCATATTCATGTCTTACTAGAGATATAAAAAGGGGTAAATAAATAAATAATTAAAATAATAATAATCAAACTAATTATGAAATAAAAGTGTAATTTTTTATTTATTTTGTAATCAAAATAATGCAAAAATGTTCTCACCTTTATTCGATTGTGAATATCTCACAGCTCTTGTATCTTGCAGTTGGAGTCAAAACAAATTCAAGCTACTAATTTATTAATATAATAAACCAGGAGATGGTGGTCTTGAATATCTCAATTATTCCGTTTTTTTTTGTTTTTTTACATTTCTTTCTTTATTTCACAAAACCTCAGACCAAACATGTTTATATACGTTTATGCATGCATGGAATCGATTTTTAATATTCTCATGTTATGCTCTTCATATTTAACTGTATCACTTATATCTGTTTTGTATGTGCTGCTATATTGTTTACCTTGATTTTGTGTATATTACATTATTGTATTAACAAATTAAACAAATAGATTTGTTAACGGTTGTAATACCGCATTAAGGACAGTGAGGGGCAATGTTGTGCAACATCATGAAGCTCAACCTTAACAAGTCACAAGTTTCCAAGAGTCAGTTATGACAGTACAGTACCTGTCTAACTGAGTGTTTGCATTAAAACCTACATACATCAGGTTTTTATAAAAGAGACAACCATGTTTTACGGAGGGCTAACCATCTGTCAAAAATAGTGTCGGTTTATTTTTAGATTTGAAGCCTTTAGCTATAGAGGCATATGTAATGATTTAAACACGAGAACAGTCTAATCATAGATCCACAATATTAAAGACTGCTATCCTTAAAGGACCATACCAGATTATGAAACATTTTGTTATGTTTGGAGTTGAATAAAGTTTACAGCTCAAGGTCAGAGCCCCAATCACATGACAAAAATGAACTCTGACGTAAGTGATAGATATCATTTATGAGGACTTGAGTTTTAAAACGTTTTGTATGTCCATGATGTGTCACTTTTTTGATAAATGTTTCTTTTTGAGAGTCTAGAAGATTAAAGACAGAAGATCATCTAATGCTGTATCAGATGTGTCAGTCAGTCTATTATTTGTATTCTATTTGACTTAGTGAATGTATTGTATATGTTTCTGTGCTTTCATGGAAAATATTGCGACAAGCCTTTTCACTGATGTGATTCTGTTCTTTAATGAAGGTATTATGAATAAAGAGTGGCTTTTTTATCGAAGTGCAGCATCACAATGTGTCAGTCTCACCTCTTAAACCAAAACACCTTCCATTTGACTCACATCAGCACAAACATGTCAGGAGGCCCTCAAACTCATCTGTCTCCAGACATCAGTATGTGGCTATAGTCATCTTCCACCCTGTGCATGCTGGGATACTTTCTTCATCCCACTGGGACCCTGAATAAGAATTAAGTGGGTGATTCCCCTGCCACGAGTTCTGCCTCTTCAGTCGGAATCAATTCAATTCATTTCAGTTCAATTTAACGTTCATTCTGCTCTGATGTGATCCGTATCGATCATGTTGAGTCTCTCTAGCAGATGTGTGTGTTTCACTTCAGAGAGCTGTCTGTCAGCTGATACAGTTCACAGACAGCTTCAGACTGACTCGCTGCAGTATGGTGGCCTGGTGGGACAATTTCTGTCATGAGTGTGCATTAAACATGCATCCATACATATGCATACCCATTTATTATGTGTGCAGTGCATGTGCGTCCATATTTCTGTGACAGGTTTCCGCTCCATGGTCTCCTGGATGTGTGCATGCATTTAATGCCTTCTGTGAGCATGTAGGCTCCCAAGAGTGTTTATACATAAAGCCGTGAGTGTGTGAGTGTGTGTGAGTGTGTGTGTGTTTATGTGAGGTGACAGAGCTTAAATCCATGGTCCAGTGCGCTGTGCTCCCAGCGCGGTGCATGGCTTCCATCCCTATATGAACCATCAGTACAGTCAGATAGGAATAAAAAGCCATACAGCGCACTAGGCATTAGGAAGACTGGATTTTGAGAGCAAGGACACACACATACACACACATATATATATGAGAAAAAGCAGGTCATTAAAATAAAACCCCTGGGGGCTGCAAAACTGGAAAATGGGAAAACAGCAGGTGAAATATATTGACATCCAGATAGGAAGAAAGAGAGCTGGGCCCTGTATACTGAGTATACTGGGAATATTGCATCATACTGGGCCAAGGACTGCCCAGAGGGCATGGTGTGTGAGTCAGAGGGAGAGCACGTGCATGGATGAGTGATGCTGCCCGATGCTGAGGTGTGGCAACAGGTGTGGCACGGCTTTTCATCCCCACAGTGTTGTCTCCGAAGCAGCTAGATTTCCAACTGCGCAGCTCTTGGCTCATTGGGACCAAACAGAGATACCCTGGTATAAGACCTTTTCTAAGAATTTGAAGAATCTTGAACCTGTTAACCTTCACAAGCTGCCATGTTTTGGATGTTGCGGCCACAAAGAAAAATACAATTTTATTGTTGATTTTCCCTCCTGGTATTTCCTTTTGAACCCCTATCTCTTCCTATTATACTCTTCCTTTTAACTAAAAGTATATCCCTTTACAAGACCTCCATTTTTTCAAAGGGCGCAAATAAAACACGTGGTTTGCAGAAGAACAAGTGTTGTAATCTATAATGCACATACCTGTTCCCTTAAAGGATTGCTAAACTTAAATAAGAAAGAATGAAAGAAAGACACATGAACACTCATTCACATGCCAAGGCAAAAGCTAAATCAAAAAGTGTAACAGTGTCCACTAAAATGCACTGATACATGACAAATATTGGATATGTTAAGATAAAAAAAATCTATTATTCAGCGAATAGATTTTGGTCCAATTTAGTTTATTTAAAACATACTCTCGAGAGGCACTTCGCACATAATTCTAAAGCTAAAGTGATGTCAATTCTTTAAAAAAAAGATTTAAACATGGTTTTCTTTTTGGAAAAATATCACTCCTGCGCCAAGATTACGGAACAAGATTTGTTATCTTGTATCAGTGTAAATCTAACTGTTGGATTCATCTTTAAAAAAAAAAAAATTGCTCTTCAACAGGGGAGGAGGGGTCAACTCTTTCTCCAATGAGCTCAGTAGCACCTGTTGTCCTCTTGGATAGGATCCACATGCTGCCAACTTAACACATTTTTATCAAACCAATAAAACAAAAAGCCTGTAAGAGAGAATGATGATTTCAAAGAACAACTCAAGAATCACATATTTGCAGTCGACCAGTCCACATTCAGCACCTGAATAATGGAACTAAGAAAGCAGATGTTAAGGTTGGTTAGAGAGTCAATGAAAATGACCAATGTGAGGGTTAAGTGCAATGTATTTTTTTAAATACAAAAAAATCCCTCTACCTGAAATAGCCCCCATACCCTGTTCTGCCCTGCATTCTTGGTCCTTAAAAGGTCCATGAAAGACTTGGAAAAGGATGAGTATTGGATTCAAACTAGAAAATAACCCCCTACATGTCTAGAGAAGGTATTTTATTATTGTTTCCTACAGAATGAAACCATTCATGTCGCCCCTTAAGAGGCTTCACAACTTCAAGGAGCGCATATGAAATAAATCCAATTACCGAGCTGTCAATCAAGACGCTAATTAGTGCGACTCGGGCAGACTAAGTGGCATCAAAGCTGGAAATTCAGAATAGAGGCGGCGAGACAGACACAGGAAAAGAAAAGAAATAATCACATCAAAACGGACCATTTCGTCGCTGAAAGCATAACAATTACCGCAAATAACCTTCCTCAGACGCTTCCTCACAAAACCTCTACACTGGCTGCTGCTATTTCTGGATCACAGACGAGCAGCTCGTAAAAAACAAAAAAAAGGATTGAAGAAGAAGCGAGCATCCATGCATCCGAGTCGGGACACCGCGAGTCCTCCTCTGTGCCCCCCTGCGCCCTGCCGCCGGGCTGCCGGAGCAGACAGGGTCCGGCTTCAAACAGGTGGCTCCAGGCTCGTGCTTGTGCATGAGGCCTGAGCAACTGTCCAGGATATTAGTTTGTCCCCTGCTCGCTCGTCTTGTCCAAAGAGAAGAAGTGATGCTGCCGCTGCCACCGGTGGATATGTGGAGTTTGATCGCCCCTTTACGCATCTGTGCGTATTTCCATTCAGCGGCAGAGGCAAACAGAGAGAGTGAGAGAGAGTGAGGAGAGAGAGTGAGGGGAGAGAGAGAGGTGTGGTGGAAAAGGAGAGGAGGAGGGGAAAGGGGGGGTTGAGGTAACAAAAGCCCCTGAGTGAGGAGGAGCCAATGAAAAAAAAGAGGGATGAGAGAAAAGGGAGAGGGGAAAAAAGGAAAAAGAATCAAGGAGGGGGCATCATCATACCTGAACAGGAGACCCCCCCTCCATGTGTGTGTGTGTGTGTGCGTGTGTGTGCGTGTGTGTGGAGACAGACACAGGGTGACAGGGGGTGTTAGGGAGGGGAGGCTTATGTCCCCTCAGTGACGCGCTGTGTTAATAAAAGCTGTGCAGAGGGGCTGAATAAGGCTCTTTTCTGTCTCATTCAAATACGCCAGAAAGCACTTTCATTCTGCTGATAAAGTAGAGAGAGAGTGTGTGTACGGTGGCACGGTGGAGCGAGGGAATGTGTGATTGTGTGTGTGTGTGAGTGTTTGAGTGTGTGTCCATGTGCATCTCCATGTGTTTGCCCTGTCTCTCGCTCTGTCT